GGCTCCTGTTCCCTAGAGTTTTTATTACCCTCAAGTTTGGCCGGGATTCTTTGTCCCCGGAAATGGGACTAAGGAGGTGCCCTTGAGCTCCCCTGGGCAATCCCACTGCTGCAAGTCCCTGTTCTGAGGACCGAGTACTCTCTATCTGGTGTTAATCCCACTCACATTCCACGCCCACGGTGACCATCCGGGCGTCCGTGCCGTGCGGGTTGATGGCCAAGCAGCGGTAGGTGCCCGCATCCTGTCTGGATACGTGGAGCCGCTGAGACAGGGGCGCGCCCTCCCTGGAGCAGCGCACTTGTGGGGAGGGGCGACCTCCAGCGACGCAGGTCAGCTTGGCAGCCTCCCCTTCCAGCCATGTCTGGTGGCTTGGGCAGGTGGATTCATTCATTTGTGGTGGCGCTGCAAAGCAGTCATAGGGGTTATCAGGGAGGAGCCAGACCTGGGGCACCCTCTACTCCCACAAGCCTGGGCCCCGCTCACACTCCACGCTAACAGCCACTGTCTTGACCATGGAGCCATGCCGGTTGGTGGCGTTGCAGGTGTAGATACCAGGTGCCAGTTCATTAGGGATGCTGGGGGCTCTGGGACTAGGTTCTGGGGATGCCAGCGGCAGCAGCACCCCTTCACTGGTGCCCCCAGAACCGATGCATTCCAGTCTTGGCTGTGGCTTCCCATCAACCTCACAAGAAAACAGCCGTCCAGATCCTTCCACCCATGTCCAATTGCTGGGGCAGCTCAGCTCCTCAAAACTGGGGCCATCTGGGGAGCACAGGGGTCACACACGGACTGGAAGTCAGGACAAGGTTATCCTGACATAATCCATCTTGCCCTTTGCTGCCCACACTCACATTCCACTGTGATGGCCACATTTTTGGCCGCAGAGCCTCGAGTATTGGTGGCTTCACAGCGGTAGATACCCGCGTGTTCCCGGGCCACACGCAGCAGGCCCTCCATGACCTCGGCCTCCCCAGAGCGCACACAGCTCACATTGGGTGGCGGGAACCCGTGTGCCACACAGCTCAGCGAGGCCTCTGTTCCTTCCAGCCATGTAATGCGTTCTGGGCAACCCATGCTGTCCAGTGCTGGTGCATCTGAAGGGGGTTTGGGGTTTGGGGATCAGCCTAATGTCCATAGATCCTCTTTCCCATCCCAAGGCAGCCACGAAGGGTTGGGGAGACTATGCCCTACACAGGGATGTGGAACCAAGGGGGTTTCATGCCAGTCAAGCCATGCGCTATTTCGGGACCTTGTGAGCCCAGAGAGGCACCTTTTTCTTATTTTTACAAAGCACCCACAGGACCCTCGCCCAGTCTTTTGCCTAAAAATTGTTAGATGGCTTGGAGCATACACCTTTCCAAGACTCTGCTCAAATACCACATACCACACCCCTATGGAACCCCTACCCCTTCGTCCTGGTCTTTCTCCAAGGTCTTCCCGCAACCCCACTCATCACCCTAGTCCCTTTCCTAAAATCCCGCCCAAAGGCACCCCTCTGACCCTGCGCCTACTCTTCTCTGTAGGCTGGCCACCCCTAGACTCTAAGAATGAGACAGAGATGCACCATGCGCACCCCCACTCACACTCCACTGTCAGCGTCACGTCCTTGACTGCCTCGCCCTGGATGTTGGCTGCGGTGCAGCGGTAAGTGCCCGAGAGTGCGCGAGTGATGGGACCCAGCAGGCCCAGTGCCAACACGGCCCCGCCGTCAGGTCGGGCACAATGCACTGAGGGCGCTGGATTTCCGCGGGCATCGCAACGCAGCGTCTGCTCTGGGCCCTCCGGCCACGTCCAGCTCCTGGGACAGTCCGAATCGTCCAACCGGGGGGCGTCTGCGGGCAGGGGTGTGAGATAGAGAGGCTACACGTGGACCGTGAGAAAGGCCCCACTTCCACGACACGGCCAGTGTCCTTGGAGATCACGAGGAGGAAGGCAAGAAGTCAACTCACATAGGACGCGCAGTTCGGCGCTCTCGTTCTTGTTCAGGGTCTCCCCATTCACCTCGAGGGTGGCGTCGCAGAAGAAGCCGCGTCTGTCGTCGTTCTGTGTGGCGTTTAGCTGGAGCTGGGCTGGCCGCCCGGGGACCGCGGCTGGAACTCCGTCCAGTGTGACCAGAGCTCGGGCGCCCGCCGCACAAGTTATTGTCACCATCTTCCCCTCGGGGACACTAGGCTCGCTCAGGGTCAGGAGGGGCGCCGGGAAGCCTGGGGAAGCGGCATTTGCCAGTAGTCTACTAACCACGCCCCTCCCGCGGTCAAGGCTGCCCCTCATCAGCGGGAACTCTCCTAGCGCGGGGGTCAAACCATAGGTACCATTGCCTCGCCTCTCAGGCTACTCAGGCTCCGCCCCTTTCGACCCACCCCTCTGAGGTGGTCGGGCCACATTCCCTTCCGGTGGCTTAGATTCAGCCTCTCCCACCATTCCGCTTCAGTCCTCCATTCCCCGCCACTTCGGGACTTTCGGGCCACGCCCATTCCAATAACAAGGCTCCGCCCACTCATTACCCCGCCTTCGAGTCCCTGTGGCTCCACCCCCGAGCCGCAGAGGTCCCATTTCACTAGGTCTTACTGTAGACAGTCACGTTCTCCCGGGTCTCGCGGCTCTCGCCCCCCAGGGTCACGATGCAGACCAGCTGACTGGCGCCCTCCTGCTCTGCGCTAGCTGTGGCTGTGGCAGTGGCCATGAGCGCTTCCCCCTCGAGGGTGATATCAGGACTCAGCCTCTGGTCCCCCAGCGCCAGGTAGACACCGGCCTCCGACGCTGGAAACAGCCCATCCAGGACGCAGTTCACGAGTCTTTCGGAGCCCACTTCCAAGAGCCGGGGGGCAGTGAGGCGTGGGAGGTCTGGAGACAGTGCTGAGAGTCGAAGAACAGAGCTTGAACTTAAGTATTGAGCACTGAATATATACTAAGCGCTTTACCATGCACTATCTTATCCTACTATCCTCAAGGCACAGAGAAGAAAATAACTTTCAGCTGGTATTGGCGTAAGGATTAGAATTCAGATTTCTCTGCCTCCAAACTTTTTTTTTTTAATTGGGGAATTGGGTGATGGGAACAGCGCTGGGGAATTGGGGGAAGGGGAACAGACAAGTTGCTGTCCTTTTTGTTCTTCAGTCTAGTTGTGGAGGACGTTGCTTCACTGGCCCAAGTTGGCACCATCATTGCGCTCTTCCCAGGCGAGGCAGATCAGTCGCCGGCTTCTGGACAGCCGCTCACTGCGGCTGCTGGCTACACACGATAGCCCATGGCAACCCACTGCAGCAGGGGCTGCAGCCTACCTCGTTGCCGCGACTCTCGACAGCCCAGCTCCAGGTTGAGCTGTTGTTCAGCATCTTAGCTGTAGAGGGCAGTGTCACTGGCCCTCATATGTGGGATCCGAACCGGGGACCTCTGGGGTCCCAAGCCAGCTCTTAACCAACGCGCCACTCGGCCGGCCCTCTGCCTCCAAACTTCTTAAAGACCAGCCCGAACCCTCTGGATCCCCTTCTCCTCTCCGCACCCACTCACCGAAGGTTCGGAGCTCTCTGGGGACCGAGCTGTTTTCAAACAGCCCCAGGCCGTGAGGTCGAAGGTCCAGTTCCGCGCGGCAAGAGAAATTGGCCCCATGGTCCTCCCTCCGCGCCAGGACAGTGGCCGTCAGCACCGCGCCACGCGCTCGGGGTGGCTCCCCGGCAAAGCTGCGGCGGATCAGCTCCTGGGCGCCCCGCAGGAGGGTCAATGTGAGGCTCGCACGAGGCCCAGCACCAGGGACCCTACAGCTCAGGGTGAAGTTCTCGCCCACAGGCTGCCAGGTAGGCAGAGGCACCAGCTCTACGCGATCCGGCCGCTCTGCAAGGGGGTGGGGGAACCACAGCTCTTGAATCGCCAAAGCTCAGCAGGACGTAGCGTGGAACCCAGGGGCCAACAGAGGAGGGCTTAGGGATCCAGAGGGTGGGGCCTGAAGGGGAGGACCCCGTGACCCAGAAGGCGGGCCTAAAAGGGAGGGAAAGTAATGGAGTGAGAGCGTGGCTGCTGAGAACTCACGAAAAGTGCGAATGAGCCCACGCGCCTGCAGTGTGCGCCGCGCGCAGCGGAAGAAGCAGACAGGCTGAGTCTCTGGCTCGCGGATGTCTACCAGCTGCCGCGCCAGCCAGCGCAAACCCCTCTGGGTCCCATTCCGGCGTAGCGAGGTCTCCAGGCCACCGCGCTCGGGCCGTGGGCAGTTGGTGCTGCAATTCAGCCACAGCGATCCCCCGCGCTCCACAAGCGCCACGCGGGGCTGTAGGTCCGCCCAGAAGGGCTCCTGCGCGACCGCTGCCCGGAGAAACACGGGTTCAGCCCGCGGAGCCACCCATGTACCGAGTCAGGGATTCCCGGGGAATAAGAAGAGGCCGCAGTAAGGAAAGAACTCAGAAGTAAGTCCCGCGTCCTGCCCAAGGCTCAGGTTTAGACGCGCGTTCCCAGGGTGTAAACCTCAAGAGTGTCTCTGGGACATGGCAGCGGAGAGCTCTGGTCTCCAAGGTGCCTACGGAGTGATGGGAAAGCATGGGGGCATGGGGGAAGATGAGAGGAAAGACGGGGTCTTCGACACACACAGCAACGCTGGGAGGAGGGGGGCCTCAGGTGGGGGAAGGGAAACGAACCGGTTCTCAGGATTCTCACCGGGAGAGGGGAAGACTGAGGTTGAGGCCAGGGCAAAGGGGAGATGAGGCTGAATCAAGGATAAGGAAGGACTCCAAACCCAGGTGAAGAACACGAAAAGAGGACGCAGGGCTGGGCTCATGGAAGGAACCGCGGGAACATCGAGGGACTCGGTTGCCAGGGCTCCAGGTGGAGCGAGAAGAGCGTCTCTGAGTCACAGCAGTTGGGGAGATCGGGTGTTCGTGGGCCGCGAGTGGGAAATATGCCAGTCCGTGGACCATGGTGCACGGAGCGTGAGGAGGTACCCCGGATGGGAACAAGGGCGACATGGAGTCTCCGGGGTGCGAGGTTGGGTGCGGAAGAGCACCCAGGATCTCGAAGGGTGTAGGGTGTGTGTTGGGAGGAGAGAGAGAAGCCCAAGGCTCAAGGTGGGGGCAGAAGCGTGGGAGCCAGGCGAGGGCGGAGCCAGGAGGGGCATGTGGTCGTTTCTCAGCCTCAGAAACCCCTCTGTCCACCCGGAACAGGGATGGGCTCTTACCTGAGAAGCCGAAGAACGCCAGGCCCAAGGCAGCCCAGAGGCCGAGCAGAGCCCGGCGCAGCCCTGGCGAGGGCCCTGGCATCGCCGCTGCGGGGGAAACACAGGAGGCGAGGGGAGCGCAAGCGCTGAGCTGGGCTCGAAGACCGCGCGGCGCGGCGCGGCGCGGCGGGTGGGGTGTGGAGGAGGCAGAGTTGAGCTCAGGGATTGGTTTAACGTTGGTAACTTGGTTTCCAAGGAGGGGGCGGTGGCAGAGGCGGCAGGGAGGTGGGAGGGCGAGCGTGCACCAGGCGCCCGGCCTCGGTGAAGGCGTGCTGGCAGGAGCGAGCGACCCCCGGGGTCTACATGGAGGCCTGCCCAATCGCCCGAAGCCTTCTGGAGGCGGCCGCGCGCTCCCGCGTCATCCCCGGCGGCGACGCGGAGGTCGAGGGTATGCTGGGTTGCCCTTCTCAAACCCCCACCCCACTCCTAGCTTACATGCTGAGATAATAAGCTGGACTCGGAGTTCCGCCCCCATATTTAGCCCTTCCCACCAACGCCCCTTGGGGCGGGGATTGATTTAGTAAGCGCAGGATGGTGTAGATACAGTTCTAGGGGCGGGTGTGGGATGCCTCCCGCATTGATCCTTCCCCTTTTGACCCCAGGGTCCCCTCCGGCTCCGCCCCCGCCCCCGCACGCGACAGAGGGGGCGGGGACCAAAGTGCCAGCGAGTCGGGAACACGTGTGCGTGCGCACAGCGTTTGCGGGAGTCTAAATTAGGGTCGGCTCGGCTCCCAGTCTGTATTTACCCAGCGTGCAGCGGACACGTGTCTACTCGGCGTGTGCGAGCGTGAGCCGCGGAAGAACGCCCTTGAGCCCACTTTCCGCACAGCGGGTGGGAACCCTGGACCACGCGGGCCCGGCAGGCATCCAGTACGTGCTCAGATTCTGTGTCCATGTGAGACCAAGAGACCGACTGTGACACCTTTGACCCAGGATCTGGGCCCCAAGTTTTGACACCCCTATGTGCCCACCAGGCTGGATAACTATCAGGACGTTGCCAGGAAGCAAGTCTGTGCCACCCCACGTGGACTATCTGATTGCTCTTTCTCCGCAGTCACCACATTGGTACCTTTTCTGCCCATCCACGTTCCTCAATATGTCCATGTGACCCGGCCCACTTGTGCTCTTATTTCCGGTGCTAACAAGTGAACTACGGGGATCAGTTCTTGTCCCACCCTTGTGCTACAGGAAAGTGCAGGATCAAAAGTAGACAGGAAGGGGGGATGGGAAAGGAAACGTAACATCCAATCAGATGGTAGCAGCGGAGCCAATCAGGAAAAGCCATACAGTGAAGGCGCCCGCCACAGCCCAAGGCCCTCCAGCGCCTTCGCGTTGCAGGTCTGCACCACACTGATAATAGCCACCGGTCAGGTGTTTACTACACGGATAGTAATGCAGAGGGACTGGGGCTCTGGGCACCCCAGGTGGACCAGAGTGAGGAAACCTCAGGTAACCTCAAGAAGACAAGGAACTTGGAGAAAGTGCGACAAGGCCAAAAAAGACCACTTCTCTGAGGCAGTGCACGAATGGGGGACCTTTAGGCGGAGCAGAGGTTGGCCGAGGATGGCTTTATTGATCCAGGCAGGGTTCCCCCAAAGTACTCTAGACTCCTGTTTGCTCAGGCTCAGCTGGCATGGACCACTCCCTCTACTGCCGGGACTGCATCAATAGGTACTTTCGCAGGTAGGCAGCCCCCACGATGAGAAGGATCCCCACAAGGGCTGCGATGGAGGTGGAAGCCAAGGCTTTGGACGCGGTGCTCCAAGCTGGGGGCAGGAGGTGAGAATTAGGAACGGAGAGCCCTCATGGAGCTCAAGCTTGGCCGGCCCGCCCACCCTCCTGGGATCATAACCCTTCCCCACCCCTCTTCAGGTCCCCAGGATCACAAGGGTGCCTCACCGAAGACTGTAAGCGTCATGGGTGCGGAGCTGCTGTGGACCACCTGGCCGTCGAGATTAAGGCGCGCGTGGCAGGTCACCGGCTGCCAGAGGTCGCGGGGCCTGGCTGGGAACGCATGAGTCAGCGTCACGTTGGCCAGATCCAGGCCCGTGAAGCGCTTCAGGCTCTCGGAGTAGATGACCCGGTCGCCGCGCTGCAGAGTCACCACTAGGAAGCCCACGGGGAACACGTGCGTCACGTGGCAGCGCAGAGTGTACTCACTGCCCTCGAAGACCGGAGGCTCCAGGATCACGCTGTGTGGCTGTTCTAAACCAAGAGGGGGCTGCTGAGCAGAGTCCGCGGGCGCCCCCTAGTGCGACTGTCAATTGCCCCATTTCTGTCCCCCTCCCCTCATCCCAGCCGGGCCTGAGCCTTTTTCCCTCACTATAGGCGTGGATCCTAGCCATGGCCCCCAGCGTTACTCCAGCGCAGGTGACGAAGCAGTGCACGTCGGAGCTCCAAGCCCTCACATCCAGCAGCTGGAAGGATACCCAGTTGGACCCGCGGAGCGTCTGGCCTCGCTGCAGCCCAGTATGGAGGCTGGAATTCTCTGGCAGGGGGCAGCTGCTGCTGCAGTTGAGCCACACTGAACTCCCGGGCGGCACAGCCTTGAAACTGGGGTTTATGCGGACCCGGAACGGAGCTTCTGTGTCCGAGGGCGAGGGAGAGTTGTCTTCCGAGCCTTGTGTCCACACAGCCCGGCGCCTCCGCGCACTCCCGCCTCCCTGGTAGGCGGCCGCCAGCAAAACCAGCAGCGAGAGGGGGAGCAGAAACCTCATGGCAAGCAGCCCGAACTGAGGGACCGACCAGGCGCCAGGAAGCCAAGGCTGGCTCTGGAGATAAGGAGACACGAAGCCCCGCCTCCTCAGTCCCACCCGGAGAGACTGAAGCTTCTAGAGGTCGTAGAAGCCCTGCAAGATGTATACCCCCTCCCTCGACTCAACAATGGGATTCCAGACCCCATTATAAACCAATGCCCATGTGTTTATCCCAGAGGGGTCTTTAATTTTCACTAGCTTCTCAGAAGGTCCTAATAAACTCAGATTTGGATTAGGGCCTCAGGGTTGGGCCTCAAACTGCAGCCTTTTCTTGGGGGAGGAAGTGAGAGGACAGGGCTGTGGTAGAGTGGCTAGACAGGGCTCCATCTAGACTTGATACCTCCCCTCAACTCACCAAGGCTGGGCTGAATCAAACAGCTTTATTAGCACAAGGGAGAGGCTTCTGGAGTTGGTAGTCCCCGGAGGCCTCTCCTCCCCATTGCCTGCAGGGCCCTCATCACTGCAAGAATTTGGGGCTGCTAGGGTTCTGTTCTTGCATGGTCCCAATGAGGTGGAAACAAGCAGGACAAAACAGGGGCACACAGTGGTTGGACATAGTTTCATGGGACTCCATGGTTTAGCTGCCAAGGACTGGGTACTCATGTTTAGGCATGCCATCAAGTGTCATTGTGAGCACGAGCAGAGATGCATATGGGTGGAGAGGTGGCTAACGGAGGTCAGCATCATTGCTGGGGGTAAGGGCTCCGTGGGTCGTCCCTGGGCATGTCACCAGCAACATGCAAAATATGTTGCATTGTTAGTCCCCTTCTGGGGGAAAGCAGTTTGGTCAATGGAGAGGGAAATTCCATCCCACTGATCTTTTTGCCACACACTCTTAATGTAGTGCACAGCCATACAACTAACTGTACTTGGCATCCCTGAATAAGGTTAGACTTGAGGGCTCCCTGAGGGCAGGAACCTCTGTTCGTCTTGTTTATCATTCTATTCCACATAAAAGAAACTAATAAATATCTGGTAAAAGAATAAATGAATAAATATGTTATCACCAAGAGTTGGAAACAGTCAGTGGACAGCACTGTAAGAGCTGGCATCTGTCAGAGGAAGTATGGGGGTTTGTGTTTCAGTGCTGTCCATGTTTGGGCAGGGCTACTTCTTAGAACTGTAGGGCCTCTGCACACATAGTAGGGGGGAGAGATTCAATGTTTCCCAAATGGATGTCCCCATGTTGGAGGTATGGGTCTCCATCACTCCCCCTCTGACCAGGTCAGCCTTTGATATCCCTCACAGTCATGTCCTAAGTCTTGCCCCCGAGACTTGGCTCAGTCCTGTGGCTACAAGTCAGGTGTGAGGCCTGGGAGTCCTCAGTGTGCAGATGGCATGGCCCTAAATGCTGCGTGTATCCTGAGGCCTCTGTCCTGTCCTCTGGCATCCTTGGAAGGTAGGTACTGCTGAATGGCATATGTCCACCACTGTTCAATGTGGCACTGCTGCCACTGCTGGAGTCCCTGTCCTACAACAGGTTCAGGGTGGCGTGTTCAGCTTCAGGGCAGCCGCCTCCCGGGCCTTCTGTAGCTTGTATTCCCGGATCTTCCGCTGGCGGTTATAGAGGTAAGCGGCTATGACCACGGTGCCCAAGATGACTGTAGCTGCCACCACAATGATGATGACCATGTCATTCTGCTTGTCTGTGAGAACAATAGGGGAAAGTGAGGGTTGAACCAGGCTCATCGCCCCTGCCCTGCCCAGCCCCGAACACTGGCACACTCACAGATCACGTTCACGACCACTTCATGGGTGACCTCAACCTGACGGCTCGTGGCCCGACACATGTAGGTGCCTGAAATGTTCCGATTGACAAGCATTCGGTCCCCGATGGGCAGTACACTCCCATCCCCTTTCCGGCTACAGTTCACTTTGGGGATTGGGTTTCCTCTGGCCTGGCACTTCAGGGTCTCCCAGGAGCCTTCCTGCCATGTCCAGTTTCCTGGGCAATCACTCTCTTCTAGTTGGGGGCCATCTGGAGAAACACCAAAAGATGAAGGACAAAGTCAAGGACCAGGACACCCCTCACCACCTAGGACTGGAGGACTTAGGTAGGAACCCAGGGAGGAGGCCACCAGGGTGGGGGTGGGGGTGGGCCCCAGAGGTCAGGAGCTCATTAGGTTTTAGGGGTTCAGCATTGGAGGTTAGGGGTCATTGTCCAGCGACCTCACTCACACAAAACACGAAGCTCCAGGGTCTTGTTCTTGTGCAGCACCTTCCCAGCCACCTCTAGGGCAGCAGTGCACAAGAAGCTGCGCCCGTCGTCCTCAGCACTGGCATTCAGCAGGAATTGGGCACTCGAGCCTGGAGGCCCAGGTGGGGCTCCATTCAGCGTCACCATGGCTCTAGCATGGGCCTTGCACTCCACACGCACCATAGTCCACTCGGAGACCTCAGACTGGCTCAGGGTCAGGTTGGGAGCAGGGAAGCCTAAAGACAGAGCACACGGTGAGCCCCGCCCCGAGTGCTGGCCACACCCCCCCCATACCTCCTGGTCTCTACTTACTGTAGATGGTCACATTCTCCCTTGTTGTCCGGCTCTGGTTTCCCAGAATCACTGCACATGTCAGCTGCTGGGTGCCTTCTTCCTCTGTGTTCGCTTTGACCCAGGCCATAGCCGAGAGAGAGTCCTTGTTGTACGTGACTTTGGGTTCCAGCCTCTGGTCCTTTAGCGCTAGGTGGACCTGGGCCTCTGAGGCAGGGAACAGCCCGTGCAGGGTGCAGTTCACGAGCTTCTGTGTGCCCACTTCCATGATCCGGGGAGTAACAAGCCATGGGTGGGTCATTGGCAGGACTGGTGAGAGAGGGTGGGTGTGAACAGAGAGGAGGCTAAAGCCCTTTCCTGGGGCATTTTCAATCCATCACCTGGAACTCCTCTTCCCGGGAGACTCTGTGGCCTGGGTCACCCCTGCCCCAGGACACTCGCACCCCTTACCCCAGGTCACAGCTTTCTCAGAAGGTCCTGTGGCTTGGGAACCCCATCCCCCAACATCCACCCCAGTGACCAAGAACATGCTCTTCCCAGAAGCCTTGGCAATCTAAGTTGCCACCTTCTCAGTATCCTCATGGCCACCAGCCCTGCCTTTCCAAGAACTCCTCACTCCAAGCCAGAACACCATATGAGTCTGTCCTCCTGCAGCCTCCCCAATGCCTCACCGAAGGTTCGGAGCTGCCTGGGGACTGAGCTGTTCTGGAACAGTTCCTGCTTTTGGGGCCGAAGGTCCAGTTCCGTGCGGCAAGAGAAGTTGGCGCCGTGGTTGTCTCTGTCCACCAGCACCGTGGTCGTGACCTCAGCGGGTTCCCCCACGGCTGGCTGCCGACTCAGCTCTTCCTCCTCACGGAGCAGCAACACAGAGAGGTGACGCCGGGGCACGCCTCCCTCCACCAGGCAGCGCAGAGTGAGATTTTCACCTACCAACTGCCACTGAGGCAGGGGTGCCAGTTCCACACGCTTTGGTAATGCTGGAGGGAGGAGAGGGAGTGTCCTGTGAGCTGGACAGGACACTTGCCAGCAGGGGGCACTGGGGCACCAGCAGCACCTGCCCAAGGTAACTTCACCACTCTCTCCCCAAAACACCCCAAACCACCTAAGCCAGACAGGAATGTTAAGGGCTTCAGGAGACACCGGTAAGAAGTCCCCAAGTGTTGTGAAGAGGGCAAAATAATTCTTTATTCACTGCAGCATCTAAGAGTGAAAAGTGGAAGAGAACCTCAGAGCCTGTCACCAGGTGTCTTATGAAATAAACAGTACATTTCGGCTACCCAGTCCACTAGAGATTGTTTTTAAAAAGACCTCTGCTCCCACTACTTCTACCTTGGCCTTACTTTTCTCTGTAGCACCCCTCGCCCTCTGACATACATACAACATCATCTACTCAGTAAACTTGTTTCTTCTCAATTTCCCCCATGGAATGTCAGCTCAGGAGGGTAGGAGTCTTTATCTGCTTTGTGCCCTGGGGTGTTGTTGGCAAAGAATAAGGTTGAGCCACCCACACTGATTTGAGGCCTTTTAGGAGTTTGCTTGTATGAGAAAGAAGTTCCCGGGCCGGCCGAGTGGCCCGTTGGTTAAGAGCTGGTTTGGGATGCCAGAAGTCCCCGGTTCGGATCCCACATGAGGGCCAGTGACACTGCCCTCTACAGCTAAGATGCTGAACAACAGCTCAACCTGGAGCTGGGCTGCTGTGAGTCGCCGGCGACAGCGTAGGTTGCAGACCCTGCTGCAGTGGGTTGCCATGGGCTACCGTGTGTAGCCAGCAGCCAGCGTGAGCGGCCTTCCAGAAGCCGGCGACTGATCTGCCTCGCCCGGGAACAGCGCAATGATGGTGCCAACTTGGGCCAGTGAAGCAACATCCTCCACAACTAGACTGAAGAACAAAACGACAGCAACTTGTCTGTTCCCCTTCCCCCAATTCCCCAGCGCTGTTCCCATCCCCCAATTCCCCAATTTAAAAAAAAATCTTTTAAAAAAAAGAGAAAGAAGTTCCCAAACATGCTGTGCGATTCCCTGAAATGTTAAAAATATAAGAACAGATGCTCAAAACGCAACTCTGAATAGCCAGTCCCTGAAAACACAACCCATGGACTTGGTTTTTGTAGGCTGCGGTCTCCATTTTGCATGAGGTAACAGAATTCCAAGCCTGGACTGCCAGTGAAAATTTATAGCAGAGCCCTTGTGAGCTAGGACTTAGCACTCCCCCAAGGAGGAGTCCTGAGGACTCCCAGTCAGTGTTCCCTTCTCAAGAGGACCTGAAATGTCACTCGGCAATGCTGCTAAAGTGTCTGGACATGGTTTGTAGCTTTTCTGCTTGTTTGCAATGGGCTGTGGGTGAGTGACTTTGCCTCTGGAACAGTCCCAGCCCTCAGGGCTGCAGCAATGGGTCCTCAGTTTCCTGAGCTGTAAAGTGGGGCTATTGGAGGCAGGACTATTATTAATCCATTTAAGAGGTTGAGAGAGTGAGTATAAATGGGCATGATGTTTCCTTTTAGGGAGATGAAAATGTTCTAAGATTGGATTGTGGTGATGGTTGTACAACTCTACAAATACACTAAAATTCATTGAATTGTATAATTCAAAGCTGTTAAAATAAAAGGCCGAGAAAACCCTCAGACATCCAGCTCTGACCTCTAATCACCTGCTGCAATCCCCAACTTGCAGAGCCAAAGGCCCCCTCGAACCTCAGCCCCCACACCTCTGAACCCAGCTCCTTGCCCTGAAGACCAGACTGGTGGAGGAGGTCTGTTTGGCCAGGTCTCCTTGACCCTCAGCCTTTAGTCCCTCACAAAGTCTTGGTCACTGCTCTTCAAATATTTGTCTGCCTCTCCCTTCCTCTACACAGCCACTGCTCACATCACCTGTGCCCTGGACAAGGCCCTCAGCCAACTGCTCTCTGGCTTCCTGTAAGTCTAGCTTTCTGCTATCTAATATTGGGTTGTCGGAAAAGTCATGACATATTTTTTTCTATGTTTTTCGATGCAAAAATGCGTCATGACTTTTCCGACAATCCAATAGATCCCCTGGCCGGCTCACACACCCATTCATGGCTCCCTGTCACCCTGAGGAGAAGGTCCCAACCTCAGCTCCAGCCTCACCAATCTGATGAAGTTCAGCCCCTCCTGCCCTCCCAACCCCAGATCAGCATGTTTCCCCACTCCAAACCTTTGCCCAGGCTGTTCCCTGTGCCCAGAATGCCTGTCTACCAATTCCTGCGCATCCTTCAAGGCCCAGTTACCTTCTGCAGGAATTACCACTCTCACCTTTTGAGAGAAAGCTTAGCCACCCAGGGATGCCCTCATCTTCATACTGGGGGTGGGGCAGGACCGAGCTAGAGTCTCTCCTAGGTGACACCCATGGCTACTGTGTGCCAGCTATCTGCTCCATTTCATAGAGGCAGAAATGAAGGAAAGTCGGTCGGGTGCTCAAAGTCACAGTAGGAGAAAGTGGCAGAGCCAGAACTCAGACCTGGAGTGCTGGGCTTTTAACTATCAGGCCAAGCTGTGGAAGGGCCTTCCAGGAAGTTTCCCTGGGGTTTTCAGAGCCACCAGGAACATCTGGGGACTTTCCTTACCTGGCCAGCATCTGCTCAAACATGCTCCAAATCAGAAACAACGCTGATATTTGCCTAAAGGCTTCCTTGCCTAGACACAGTGAAAATGGAAAATCCTTCGTGCCTCACCGTGTCGTTATACCCATCCCATGAGGTCTCATGTGAAAGTCAATTGAGGAGCTATGTCCCTTACAGTCACCCATTTAGTAAGAGCCATGCTGGGACTGGAACCAAAGGCTGTCTAATCCCAAAGCCAGTTGACCAGTTCGTTTCTTCTTTCCCTTTCTTTCCTTCTCTTCTCTCTCTCTCTCTCTCTCTCTCTCTCTCTCTCTCTCTCTCTCTCTNCAAAGCCAGTTGACCAGTTCGTTTCTTCTTTCCCTTTCTTTCCTTCTCTTCTCTCTCTCTCTCTCTCTCTCTCTCTCTCTCTCTCTCTCTCTCCCTCCTTCCCTCTCCATTCCTTCCTTCCTTTTGGGTTTGTTTTGTTCTAATTTGAATTTTATTTATTGCGTTTGGTCATAGTAACTCATTCTTACAGTTCAAAATGCCCAAAGTAAAAAAAAGTAGGAAAAAACTGGATCCTGCCTTCTCCTGGAGGCGGCCCCCCACCCCCACCCCGAGCTTTTTTCCTCAAAGCCAGCTAATATGGGCATTTCTTTCAGTAAACACAGCCTCCTTCACTCCTTTCCTGCCACTCCCTAATGCCCATTATGGCATGCCACTCATTCTGAGCATAACTTACTTCTTTTGAACTTGTCTCTACACCTTGGAGCACACTCTCTTTTGAGACACAAGAAGTTTCCTCATTCTTGTACACAGTTGCATATTATTCCATCATATACTCAAACCACAGTTTCTCTCCCAGCCCTAGGCCATTTGAGTGGCTTGCAAACTTTTGCCCTTCTAAATAAAGCTGCAGTGAATAACCCCCTCTCCGCCCTCCAGTTCCCTCCTGCGTGGGGACAATGTAAGCCCAGTTCCTAGGAGTGGAGTTTCCCTGTCAAAGGACATGTGTATGTGTCATCTGGAGAACTGACACTCCCTTCCCTGCCTGGGGTTGTGCTTCTTTAGGCTCCCATACTGTCAGCAATGTCTTAGGACTGCCTGCTGTCCTCCAGTCTTGGTATCAGCTGTTACCAATTCTTTTGATTGTTGCCAATATGTGAAAAATGCTATCTCAGGGCCAGTTTTAATTTGCATATTTTTAAAAAGTCAGATCTAGGGCCTTATCACATGTTTAAAAAGTGAGGCATAGAGCGCCAGCATTCTTGAATGTGTCGAATTCCTGTTGATTCTCTAACTGCACCCAAGGAAGTTCAAGGAGGGGTTTCAAATGACAAAGAGGCTCTCCAAAGATGTGTCCACCTGCCCTTCTGTGAGACTCCCTAGCCCCACCACCAAGCAACAAAAGCAGTCCCAAGCCTTCTGGGGACTCCCCTGCCCACCTCACACACCCAGCTTGCCTAGTCCAGCCCCTGGGCCCAGCCACTCACAGTACACAGTGATGGACACTGAAGCTGACGTCTGGATACCGTGACAGTTTGAGAAGCATATTGGACGGCTGTCTTTTTGTATGTCACTAAGTTCATAGATCTTCCAGTTGGTCCCACTATTCACTTCCTCTTTAGTCAACTGAGTCTCCAGACCCAAGACAGCATCTTCGTCACAGGAGGCACTGCAGTTCACCTGCACGGAGCCTCCTCTGGGTATGATGTCGTTGGAGAGGTGCACTGATGTTTGGGCACCTCCAGGCCCTGAAACAAAAGTGTGAGTAGGGGAAAGGCATTACGAATTGGGTTCAACATTCTTGGGTACCCATCCTTGAACAAGACAAAACTCTCTGCCTTCGGTGTGGGAGACAGAAAAATTCATGAACAAACAAGATAATTAATAACTGATGTTAATAAGAGCTTTCACAACAACAAAACAGGATGACAGAACAGATAGTGCCTTGGTGACAGGGGCTGGCCATCCAGAGAAAAGGGAAATGAGTTCCACGCAACAGGACGAAGTGCAAATGTCCTGGGGCAGGGTGTCTGGAGCCTAATGAGCGAAGGGGAAATGAGGTCAAGAAGATCATGCAGGCAGTGTAAGCCATGCCAAAAATGTGTTTTCATTCTGAGGGCAGTGGGGCGACATGGAAGGTCTCAGCAGAGGAGGGACATGGCGTCAGTGTCTTCCCTGCCAAGAAGTCAGGTGGAGAGGATCAGCCCTCCGGGGATGGAGGGGTTCTAATCAGGCTGGCTCCTCATTCCCTTGGACAAGTGGTCTCCCCTCTCTGGGCCTCAATTTTCCCATCTGTAAGGTGGGTGAATATAGTTCCCCCCCCCCCCAGCCCCTGCTAACGCAAGTAGCTCCTAGGACCAGGCAGGGAGTGAGTAGCTGCAGATAAGAAGGAGGTGGATTGTTAGCTCCCTCAGATCCTGGTGTCTCCAAAGCTGAAAAAATGTCTGTCTGAGCCCCTCCCTCCATCCCTACCCCCAAAGATTCCTGCCCTCAGCTTTGGCCCACTCTTCCTGGGGTGCAGGGGTGTGAAAACAGCTCTCCAAGGGTGATACTGGGATCATTCCCATTTCACAGAGGAAAATGGTGAAGCCTGGAGAGGGGAGGTAAATCAGCCAGAAAGCGGTGGAGCTGGCAACCGCGGTGTCCATCTTCCAGTCTCCTGCTCCCCAACCCTTTGAGACTCTCTGTCCGCCTTCTCCCCTCCCTCCAGGCTGGAGCTGGTGGAGAGCGGTTGGGGAATCTCACTTCTCAGCCCGGAATTCCCCTGAGCAGAAGCAGGTCTGGACTTCCCCAAGGGCCAAAGAGGAGGAACAGAATGTGCATGGGGGGTGGAGGTGGGTCCCCAGCCTGCTCAGTGTGGGGCACCACGTCCCACACACCACCTGACCCGTTCCTGGGAGAAGGAGCCCTGTTGGGCCAGAACACAACCACGGCAAAGTGGCCACTATTACGTTCTCCATTTCACACCTGAGAAACTGAGGGCTCTGGGAGGTTCAGACTATATAGCATGAGGCCACAACTCGAGGGGACGCAGGGTCTGGATTCGAACCCACGGCACTTGACTATCAAAGGATGGCTCTAGCCCCAACTTGCCGTAAATAGCTACCTAAGTAGGAATGACCTGTCCCCAGTCCCCCTCTACCTCGCCGAGGGCGCAGCCCTGATCGCGGGCGCTGACCCGACGGCATCTTCCACCTCTGACTTACCTGGAAGCAGAGCCCCGAGCATGGCCAGGAGCGCGGGCAGCTGGAGTCGGGCGGCGCTCGAAGCCATAACAACCGAAGGCAGAGCGGAGACCGGGACGTGAAGCGGCTGAGGTTCGAGGAGCTGACCACACCAGCAGCGCGCAGGTCCTTTTATAGCGGCCAGCCACTGGGGGCCGAGGGGCGGTACTGCCTTCCGGGAAACCTCGCGCCTTCCCCTAACACCCCCCACCGGAACGAGGCTCAGGCATTTCCGGATTGTCTCGGTGCGGAGCCCAGGAGAGGCTGTGCACCCTCGTTGGCCACTGGAGCATCGGAATTTCCAAATTGGAGCAATAGGGCCACAATGGCTGCAGCGACCCGGGAGCTGCTCCCGGTCCTAGGGGTCTCATCCCCGGGCCCGGTTAACCTTAATTCTGTGTTTATACTGCGCGGAGCACTTTATAGGTACCCTTGAGCAGTAGGGACTGTTACTATGTCTGTTCCAGAGAGTGTTAAACTGAGGCTTCTAGCTGCAAGGGGATTCGAAATCCAGGGTCACTCCTCAGCGCCTGCGGGCTTCTTGAAGCGGGCTTCTTGAACCGAGTGATAGATCCCTCACTGCGGTGGGATCCCGGGAATACTCCCGGGGGGGCCCTCCATCAAGGGCGTCCTTCCCCCATGGGGCATTTCCCCACCCAGCTGACACAGATTTCCCGAGAAGCGGCCCAGACGCTAGCGAACCCGGGGGTGAGGACGCGCTGCGTCGTCACGTCCGGGGATCTGCATTCCCCCACGGATGCGCGTCCCCACTCCGGCGGCCTCGCTTCCCCTTTCGGCCTTGGCCTCGGGGGCGTCTTTACAGCTTCCAGAAAAGGGAAGGAAGCCACGTGGTCCTGGCGCGCTGGGCCCCCGCTGCCGTTCCCAGGCTACGCGGAGAAACTGAGGCAGCAGACCTAGACAGGGGAGGGGAGGCGCTCGAGCTCTTGCCTTTCCAAGGGAAACTGGAAGCCCCTAGGCCCGAAAGTGGCACCGGGACGCTCAAATGCCTGCCCACGGCGCGCGGCTCCCGAAACTCCAACCCCGAAATTCGAACCACTGGCGCTAGCACTAAGTTATCTATGCGCAGGGATTGGGCGGGCTGGTTCCACTAGAGCGTTTGAGACCCAGCCCCTCCTCTATAGGCCGCCCCCACATCCCCCACACGTGAGGCCACCTCCTGTGCGTGTGACCCAAAAAATAGTCATCCAGCACGTTTGAGGCTGGGGACTCGAGTCTGTAAGCGCCAAGCCGCGTAGCCCAAGGCTTCCTGTTGTGGGGCGTGCTCTACGTCGCCATGGAGACCACTGAAGGGCCACAGAGGTCGCTAAGCAGAACGGGAAAGGAAGGGGCGCCGGGGACACCCCGGCCCTTCCTCAACGGGATAGGGCTGAGAGTCGCTCATCATCATCTAGATAAGCACCGCTCCCCCGCCCCCGCCCTGATCATTCCTAAGGAATTTCCACGGGGATCTTTCTTCTTGGGGGTGGAGGGTGCTGAATTCCCGCCCAGAACAGCTTGGGCAAAGGTGCAGACCGGGGACTGGGGACGTCCCTGCCTCTCGGAGGTTTTGGAAAAATCCTGCGCTGGGTGTTATTTTCCGGCGGATTTTTCTCAGGCTCCCACACCGGCTCCCTTGGCCTTGGTTCTAAGTGCGCGAGCTGCAAGCTCCCCCTCGCGGCCCAGGTTCCCCATGCAGCCAGAAAAACATCGTTCCTTCTCTCTCTCCAAACCGCTGCACAATGTTGATTGTGTGCAAAGCATCCTTCCAGGTGCTGAGGACACAAAATGAACAGAACAGAGAAAAGTCCCTGCCATCGTGCAGAGATGGTTTTAGTGGGGCCACAGATAAGAAACAAAAATAAAACTCTATATACTGGGCCAGCCGAGTGGCGAGTTGGTTAGGAGTTGGCTTGGGATGACAGCTCTGAGCAGCAGGGCCCAGGTTTGGATCCCACATGAGGGCCAGTGACACTGCACCCTCTACAACTAAGATGGTGAACAACAGCTCGACCTGGAGCTGGGCTGCTGTGAGTCGCTGGGGATGGCATAGGCTGCAGTGGGGCTGGCGGTCAGTGGGGCTGGCGGGCAGCAGGCATGAGCTTTTGCGAGCTTTCATGAGCTGCGGTGAGCCACCGTCCAATGGCCGGCAAGTGACTGCCTCACCCAGGAAAGGCGCAATGATAATACCAACATGGGCCAGTGAAGCTACTCCTCCACAACTAGACTGAAGAACAAAAGGACAGCAACTTGTCTGTCCCCCTTCCCTGATTCCCCAACGCTGTTCCCCTCCTTCAATTCCCCAATAAAATCTTTAAAAATAATAAAAGAAAATAAAATACCATATAGAGTGTTAGCTTGTGATTAGAGCTAAGGAGAAAAATAAAGCCAGGAAAGCGGGAGGAAATATGAGGGTTAATGGACTTTTAAATAGAATATTCTGGGAAAGACTGAGAAGGTGATATTTGAGTAAAGACCAGAGGGTGGTGAGGAGGGAGCTGTGGCAATATTAAGAAGAAAGCATAGCAGGCAAAGAACATTGGATGTGCAAAAGCCCTGGGGTAGGAACTGCCTTAAGGAATAACCAGGAGATCAGTGTGGCTGGAATGCAGTGAGGAAGGGAGTTGGAGGAAAGGAGGGCAGGGAGGGGGTGGGGCAGAGCATGTGGGCGTGGATGCCTGGGCTTTTCCTCTGAGTGAGGTGGGAGCCATGGAGGGTTCTGAGCAGAGAAGGGACAGGCCCTGACTCAGGTGTTTACAGGCACCTTCCTGAAACTTCAGGAGCTCCAGTCAGGGGTGCAAGACCTCAGTGGAAGCCAGATGGGAGAGCAGGTGACTGCTCTAGTTCAGATGAGTAATGATGGGGCCTGAGCTGGGCAATGGCATTGGAAAAGTGGTCAAATTTGGCATCCATTTTGGCAGCAGGGCCAGTTGGACTTGCTGGGACATGGGGGCAGGGCAGAGTCAAGGACAACTCCTTGGTCTTGGTCTGAGACCCTGGGAGGTTGGAGGGCCATTTCTTGAATGAAGAAGGGATTGTAATGGGGCAGGTTGGCAGGAGAAGCATGCACCTCTTGGTCTTATACTCCCTTTGCATTTTTTTTTCCCAAGGAAAAGGGAAACACAATCGCTGTAGGCACCAGGAAGGGCAGGGCTTCCTCCAAGGTGCCAGGCAGTCTTGGGAAGGCCAAAGAATGAGCCCAGGGCAGAAATAACTATGCTCTCTACTCCATGACGTTACTCCTGCTCTTTCCTCACTGTGAGCTCTGGCGTGGCCACCTTGCAGTTCCCTCACCCTGGAATGCTATTCCCCCCCATCCCTGACATGGCTGACCCCCCCTTTCTTGTGACCTGAGCCTCCCCCCATAACTTTCCTGAATGCTCCCCACCCCGGATCCTGGGCCACACCCTACTCATTCCCTGTCTCTTACGCTAATGGGTTCTTTACCGAAATTTCATTCACTTGATGAAATTCTTTCAGTTTTCTTATTGTCTGTGACCTCCATTTCTGCAAACTCCAAAAATGCAGGAACCCTGTCCACCCCAGAACCTGAATCAATGAATTGTCATTATAGCAGGTGATCAATACATACTTGCTGAATAAATGAACTTCTTGTCTCTGAGCATTCTGCACATGCTATTCCCCCAGCTCCGAATTCCCTTTCCACTGCTTTTACAAAAGGTCCCCAGAGCATTTCACTCACAAGGTTGGTGTGCAGGAAGTTTATCTGGGAGGTGATCCCAGGAAACATCTGGGATTGGGGAAGTCAAGGAAGGGAGCTAGCAAAGGTGAGCATTAGTGGGTTTTCCCTTTGGTGGCATCTGGGGTTCATCTCACTGGGAAACTCTTGGAGATGGGTAGATTCTATGCCAATCCTGTCCCTCATTGGGTAAAGGCTGCTCCAGGAATGTCAACTTATATATATTTAAATTTTAAGTCACTGTGTTGTACATAACACCCCCAGGATTTGTTTACTATTCCATTTTGTGTATATGAACCACATCTTTATCCATTCATCCATCCATGGACACTTAGGTTGGTTCCATGTCTTGGCCACTGTAAATAACATGAAGGTGCAGATATCTCTTCCAGATAGTGATATCATTTTCTTCAGGTAAATACCCAAAAGTGGAATTGCTGGATCATATGGTAGTTCTAGTTTTAATTTTTCAAGGAACCTCCATACTGCTTTCCATAGTGGCTGCACCAATTTCATATACATGAGAGAAAAAGAGAGGGGGGGGGGAGGGAATTTCACATAACATGTGAAGGGTTATCTAGTATATTCACTATCTTGTACAACTGCCATCATTATTTGATTCCAGAATATTTCCATTGCCCCAAAAAGAAACCTGGTACCTCCCCATACCCCTTCTCCCCAGTCTCTGGCAATCACTAATATACTTCCTTTTTCTATGGATTTGCATGTTCTAGGCATTTCATAGAAGTAGAATTGAACAATATGTGGCTTCTTGCACTCAGCATGATGTTCATAGTGTTTAGCATAAAGATTCACCCATGTCACAGCATACATTAGTGTTTATTTCCTTTTTTTGGCTGAATAACATTCCATTATGAGGATATATTACATTCTGTTTATCCATTCCTCTATAGATGGATGCTTAGGCTGTCTCCACCTTTGGCTATTGTGAATAGTGCTGCATTGTCCCTGCTTTCAATTCTTCTGGGTATACTTCTTTCCTTTTTATAGTTGAATAATATTCCATTGCATGGATATATCACATTTTGTTTGTCCATTCATCGGTCGATAGACATTTGGGTTGTTCCTACCTTTTGGCTATTGTGACTCATGCTGCTATGAGTGCTCATGTATAAGTTTTTGTATGAACATGTTTTCAGTTCTTTTGGGTATATACGTGGGAGTGGAATTGTTGGGTCACATGGTAATTCCATGTTTAACTTTTTGAAGGACTGCCAGACTGTTTTCCCCGGTGATTGCACCATTTTACATTCCCACTGGCAATGGACAAAGGTTCAAGGGCTCCCATTCTCCACATCCTTGACGATACTTATTTTCTGTTTATTATTGTTATTATTGCCATCCTAATGGGTGGTAAGTGGTATCATCGTGGTTCCCCAGTCCTTCTGACCTGTCCAGTGGAAAAGCCCAGCATGGTCCTGCAGTATAGAAAGCTGGAGGTGTGCCTGGGACAGCAAGTGCGAAGAGGATGTGGTCAGTCAGGGTGCTGAGAGCACCTGCCACAAGCTG